CTCAGGATTTTAAACTTATTTCCATAATTCTAATACTGTAAACATTTATGATCAGAAATTGTAGGATCCTAAATCTGAAAAATAACACTCAACTGCCCTTGAGGCTCCAAAATTTTCATTACCAAAGCTCGCTACACTGCTACTGCTTGCTGTACGCATAAATGACCCAAAGCCTGATGGCACTAAGCACTTTTGTGCCTTATCCCTGTCAGGATCATAAGCCTCTGCTTATTATTGTTCTTCAGGGTGACCCTGAAGGTAATTTCAGAAGCAGCCACGGTATCTTCCCATGCTGCAGGGAGCCCAGCCACTTCAATAAGCGACACTGATTACATTAATCAACAGAGCTCCCAAAGTTAGGGGACTGCAGCACTAATTGCAAGCCTGATTGCATACACTGCATCATATGCCTAATTTATAATAGCATATACACTAAGTATGGTAACTGCTAATTTTTTGAATGGCCACTTCTAGAGGTATGCTTTTTTTTCCCCTTATACATAGTGCACACAGCAATACAACTAGGATTCAGAGTCATTTTCTGTGTTATGCAGCAGTTCTTCACAAAATTAAGAAACAAAAATATTTGCCTTTTTTGAGATATTAAGAAAACAGTTAACTCTATCACTATTGATATTCCCCCTGAAGAATTTCTAATCCAGAAGATTAATGTTAGCTCTATCACTATTGATATTCCCCCTGAAGAATTTCTAATCCAGAAGATTAATGTGGTTTTAGCCCTTCTGCACAAGGAATATTCTGGGATTGGCCTAGGACATGAATTTCAGTTTGTTCCTGCATGACTCAATGAATTCTTACAAATTCTCTGACTCTGCTTTAAATCTGCAAGTGAAAAGATTTCTATTTCCTACTGTAGTCTTTCTTCATTTTTGCCATACTAACAAGAGAGAACTATACAGTAGAGGAGAATTTCTAGGGAAAAAGAGTTTATTAATTTTTTGAAACTGCATCAAATAAGGGTATACTTTCAGTTAGAAAATCAAGGATACCTGCCGGGGTTGACACTGCTCACTATCCAAAATTCAGAAGCAAGTCAGAATTATCAAATTGTTTCATATATTAATATAACTTAAGTTTTCCTACTTGTCCCATTACATGAGTGCTACAAGATTTTAGATTGCCTCAACTCAATAGGCATGTGGTTAGGTCAGGTGTTTCACATTTAATACAGCGCCACAAATTTAACAGAGACTAAGTTGCTTTAATTTAACGTACCTACACAGTGGAAATAAGTTACATATCATATTACTTTTGATTTTTTTGATTTGAATTGAACATAAATTCACATCTCCATTAGCTCTTTTATATTTTAAGACACATTTACCTTATAAATATAAACTTATAGAACTGAAATTACTATACTGAATGCTAAAGCCGTATTTAGGTATTTTAAATGCAAACACAAGAAAAATAAATTACTACAAAAGCACTTTGCATACACTGTTGTTATTTTTAATAGCATGCACCACGTAAGAATTAGTGGCCAGGGCAGATAATTAAAATTAAAAACATGTATTAGAGATGAATGAATCTGATTTAGTGAAATACCTTTCGACACAGCAGTTGTTTCCTGTCAGTTCAATGAATTTTGCTCAGGGGATATCACTTCTGGCCATAATCTACATGCTTCAAATGATAATCTGCTTTACACACAACTGCTTTTTGTCTGAATGCATGCAAAGTTTGATAAGACCTATACAATCAAGTTTTCATAGTTTACAGCATTCGATAGTGAATTTTAAAACTGTATTTTAGAATGTCGCATATTGAAGAAGAAAAAAAAAACAGTTTTTCCATACACACTGAATATATGCATGTAATGAATTGTATAAGACCTAATCTTAATGAAATCCTTATTTAAAAGGATGCGGTCTTGTTTTTAACATATTCACCCAGCCCCCGCAAAATACACAAGCATGTAATCGACAGCCATCCTGACTGACTATCAATACCTTGTATAAGATACTCTCCAAAAGAAACATAAAGAATCTAGAAGCACAGAAAGGTGTTGGAAAGAGTTTTAAATTTATAATCGCTCATTCTTAACTGACAGACGTACTCAGTACAGGTACGTGAGAAAGGATGAAATGTGTCTCAGAGTTGAGCTCAGTGTATTATGACTAAGCAGCGTTTACAGATGTATTCAAAGAGTAACGAGGTCACCGAATATAGTAGGAGAAATGTTTATGTGTGCAAACCAGACATCTTATTTCCTTCACTGAAACTCAGGAGTCCAGCATTTGTGGGCAGTGTTACTCTTAGAAAGTGCTGAACACTTTCTTACTGAAAGGCTAAAAGATATTTCCAGTTATCACTAACTTATTCTGATCAGCTTTTTAGCTTTGGACTAAAGCAGAGAAGAAACATAGCAAGGAAGCAAAATAAATGAGTGAAAGCTATATAATAAAGATGTAAAAATGATTCTATTTTTTCGTTGTGGTTCAAGCTATTACGCGGTTCAAGTGTACCCTTGTGGTTCTAGCTATTACAACAATAGAAGCTATTTAGATCTAGATTTCCACTTTAAAATCTCATTACTGTCCAAATCTATCAGATTCTGAGTAAGGCTTTAATGAAACCTGAATGAGAATAGGAAGGCCTTTTCACTTGTCATAACTGGATGAAATTTAATCAGAAAAAGTTTGGAAGGAGCTGCCAAGGATACACTGGAAGGTTAATACTCGACATATTCAGAGGAAGCAGAGCTATTTTCCTCAATGGTATCCGATGTACATACTCAGCTGAGAGAGGGAAACAGGAGGAAAGACTACCTGCCCTTCACAAAGTCTGGTCCTTGGTTAGTACTTCTACTATGGTTTTTATTGTTTTATTTAAACATATGCACCCAAGCATGGGGTTAAGGATAAATGCAGGAATCTGAACATTAAAACTGAATGCCTCTTCATATTATATTATTCTGGAGTCAGCTAATATGAAAAGATGATTACATCCAATTGTTTTTCTTTATTTTGTACCAGTTTCAGAGAAAAGTATTCTTTCAATTCAACTAACCGCACTCCTGTAGAAATTCTCATTCATTGTTCTTTTTGTGGGACTTATTTCAATTCCGTAAAACTATAAATAAAACTTTGACAATACACAATTTCACACCACATAAAATGAGAAATAGATTTGAAAGTAAAGGCCTGTTTATCCTTCATAAGCTGAGGAGGGTAGGGTTTTCAAAAGCACCCAAGAGAACTCAACGTTTTGTTCATTTTAGTGTTTTTGTTAGCTCTGCTGTCAGACTACTTGACTAATAGGATTTCACAAATGATCAAAAAACCCAGCTTTTTGTTCCTAAATCAGTATGGTTTAAAAGAGCAGATAAATGTTTTTTGTTTAACTGTTACAAGGACACCTGCTGTATTTTCTCATTTTATGACATTTATTTATATCATTGCTATTCGGAATGTCCCTGTTTTAAAAGTTAGCAGCTGAATTAGAGTTTATTTGCCTTTTTTTTTTTTTTTAGTTGGCTACACAATGAATGATCTCATTTTTGAATGGCAAGAAAAGGGAGCTGTCCAAGTAGCGGAAGGGCTCACTCTGCCACAGTTTCTGTTGAAAGAAGAAAAGGATTTATGCTACTGTACCAAGCATTATAATACAGGTAGGAGAGCATTTTGATGATTAAAACTGGAAAGACATTTCCTGTTATTTTGGAGAGGTCTCTTCTTTTAAATATTCTCACTGAACTTGCATGAAGATTAAAACACGCATATGCATTTTGCAGGATAGTGCATAATTAATAAAATAACTGGAACAATGAAACAAAATTAGTAAGCTTAAGAAAATACATAGCTGAAATAATTTGGAAGCAATTCAGTAATTTTTTCTTTTTGCAAGGGGTGCCATGGCCAGTCTATACTGTGGGACCTGAGGCACTGCCCGGATTGCGAGATTCGTACGCTTGCAGCGAGCTGTCCTGGCTCTGTGGAGCCGAGGCGGGAGACTCAACATAAACAGGGGCGGCTCCATAAAGAACATCCTGTTGCAATCAAAATTAAGGCAAAGAGCTTTTCAACACTGAGTTTATCACAGCTGCCATGACAGCCTAAGGGAGGGAAAGGATCCCTAAACTCTACTTAGAGTGCGGAGGTATTCACACTGACATCCTGAAGTGTTCCCTATAACAAATTGAGAACACCTGACACGCACCTTTACTGTACAAATACTAATATCTGGCTAATCCTCAAAAAGCTTCCTAAAATGGAGATCATATAACTTCTGTGAGGATAATTCTTTCACTAAAACATCTCTTTGTTAATCAGAGTACTGAAATTAACAGCATTTTTTCTTTTTTTACCATAGCCCCTGCAACAAACAAGAAAGCAAACTTTATTTTAATGATTTGTCTCTCTCTCTTTCTAATTATACAGGCAATCTTTGCTTTATTTTAAGGGCTCTCCTGCTTTTGTGCTGTTTTGACATGTGCCTATAACTGTACTTCTATAAGCTGTGCAAATTATATTATTAGAAGAACAATTGTGGTAGAAAGTGTTCTCTTCAGCTTTATAAAGTTCATTTGTGCAATGTAATATACCAAAAATCTCTTAATCAGGAATTAAAGCATTACTGTGGGACTTAATCTGATACTGAATGGAAACCTGTTGTAAAATGTCAGAATTTCTAGTGATTTCCAAACATCTCCCTAAAAAAACATTTGCTTTCATTAAAGGCTTAAGAAGCCATCACTTTACAATTCCCTGTGAAAAATCCATAATGTTTCTTTTTTCAATTATTTAAAAGTTTTGTTTTCATAATCTTGAACTGTTTCACTGCAATAAGGTAAAAAAAAAAAAGTTGATAATCTCAAATTAGTGTTATCGTTGTAAGAATGCTCCTAAGGTCAAACAGGACAACTGTCCGGAAATATTAATATGCAACAATATATTAAAATAATTTCAGATAGCCAAATTAGAACTCTACTTCATTTAAATAGCGCTCCTTTATCACAGTGAAGACAAGTTAAATATACTTTGACAGTTTTCTCTGAGAGTTTTTGCTAAAGTCATTGTATTTTAAACATTTTGATGTTGACTGAGACTTCATTTCTTCAGTATTTTTAAGCCACTACCTTTTCCTTCATAAATAAACAGGCTTGAAACATAGATTAAGATGGAATTAATTTTTATCCAAGCAGAAGTAGGAAAACATGCTAGACCAAAGCCTAACATGCTAGATGCTCCATGGCTTCCGCTTACACCTCCTGTGTTTGCCATTATGGCCCTAAATTGCAAAGGGAAGCGGGAGGAACAGATGTTAGTGACAGCATGTGAGGTCTCACGACTGTCAAATTGTGCCTACGGGCAAGTACATGTGCTTATCCCTGTGAAGTGCTGTCACATTTAGCTGGAAGAAGGGATTTACTGTCATAACAAGAGGACAGCATGACTAACCATCAGTTTACCGTATTTCTGTATTGCTTTGGCCAAAAAGTGCATTTCTGTGGCCAAACAGGTGCTCTGAAACGTCTGTGTAGCCCACAGCCCTGAGAGAGCTGAAGTTCTGGCCCCTACTTAAAAACAGAACTGGGTTGTTTGATTTGTACTTAAAAGCGAGACTACTTACTAAGGCAGAAAAGCCTGGCAGCCTACATGCTGGGGCCAACCACACGCACCTGGACGCAGACTGTAAAAGACCTCAGCAAAGCGGGAGACAACTGCGCTGCTGGGAACCTGCCGCAGCTGGCGGAGGGAAGGGAGTGCAGCGCTCGGGGCCACCCTCCTATGCCCTCCCTGACCAAGCCTGCTTTCCCTTGGGGGGTCGTACTGGTCCCCAAAGAAGGCAGAACAAACTCTGCCAGGGCAAAACAGAAGGAAAAGCTAATTTGAGTCACGCAGGATTACATTCACTGTGACAGTCTCCTTTACATTATAATGCTCTTGTTCTACTCTGAGGTCGTGGGGGTTTTGTTTTTTTTATTTTTCAGTATGAAGTTAGCTTCACCAAATTCGAGGGGTCTGGTTTGGTTTCTGGAAGGTGGGAGTGCCTTTCGTTTCTCTGTTAGAACCTGCATTATTAACTACCCTGTGTAGGCTAGAAGACACTAAACATGATATTAAAAGACAACAACTTAGTGCTGCTTTTCCTCTATGACACCATTCAGTATGTGATCACTAATACCCTTTCTCTAAAGCTCCCAAAACAAGATGCCACAGATCGATACTTCTTTAAGACAATCCACAAGGAACAAAACAAATCTTTTTTTTTTTTTTTTAAATAAGTCTATTTCTCTGGCCCACAGGAGATTACATTAAAAGGGATTTTTAAAAGGATGTTAAGCAACTGCAGCTGGTATGCAGACAGTTACCAACAGTTTTCATTATGAACTTAGTTACATTACAGGATAATACAGATATCCTGTAAAAGAGAAAAAACAAAAGTCTCTGTGAAACAAATCAACACGATGCTTCAGCACAGTATTGGGAAACTCATCAGTGCATGTCTTATCAGTGCTTCATGCCCAATTGAAAGTGCATCTCTGTAACCATAGCTTGAAAAACAAACTGCTTCCAAATATAGGGCCATAACAGTTCACAGCATAATGGCTCATCAAGTCTTATGTTCTAAAGGGACACAACAACATCTCTGATCCCTTCGGCTGGCATTCACCAGTGTATCTGCAATGACAGATTTGGGAAATGAACCAAAATTGTAATAACCAGAAAAACCATAATGCGAACCATTCGCACTACAAGAATGGTCTTGCTTTACCAAATTGTTTCCTTCACTTCCTAAGCCACATTGCTCTCCTGGGCTTGTATGCAACGCCTAGCTTTAATTTCAATCACAGGTACCAGTGGCTGCAAAGAGCCCAACATACAATGGCACAAATTCATACATCCTAACATTGGCTAGCAAACACCAGCTGAAATACTCTGAATACTCCAAATACTGACAGGTCTGACCTGGCTCTGTATGGGGCCATTTTCTGATACCTCTGTGTATTTACTGGGTAAGTCTGCTTGACTCCAGCAGGACATCTTCCTCTGACAAAGAGGAGACTGGGATTCTCAGCCTTGCTCCTACCAATATTTACATACTTTAAACATTTATTGAATAAAATCTCATCAGCTGTCCTGGAAGTAAAGACCTTACATACAAGTGTGCTTGCTATCTAGATTGCTACTAGATTCTCCTTAGCTTCTGCTTCTCCCCTCTTCGTTCTTGCTAATACAGCACAGCGTGTGACTAGCTTTCCACCTTGCAAGGACGCAATGGCGACTTGCATTCAATTTGGTATTTCCCTGGCTTCCAATCTGCAGAACTGCTACCTATCCAGTCCATCCCCAGCCTGCATGAGGTTACTTTGTTCCTGGTGCAAGACTGATTTGTTTGAACTTCATGAGGATGCTGCTGGTCTGTTCTTCCAGGCTACAGAGGTGCCTCTGAACAGCAGCTTGGCCCCTGTTTTGAGGGAGGTAGGAATTGTAAGTGTGAGTCTATTCAGCTGAAAAAGGAATAGTCATTCTTTTCCAAATAATTTTCATCTTGCTCTTACTATAGTCATTGATTATCCGTCTTATGCCAACAGTCAGCTTTATTACCTGCCCTGGGATTTGTTTCCAAGCAAGCTACCTAAAGTCTCTTTCTTCCTGAGTAACAACTTATGTATTGTGTAAATGACGGATGGCACAGATAGCCCCCTTCTTTCATAGACTGTGCCTTGAAAGAAAAATCAATCAGACATTACTACAGTCACTTTGTGAATCTTGGCTTTAGATACACAGATGCCAGCCATGTATTTCAGAACTTGGCTGGTTCTGCATCCCAGACATTCAAAAATCATCATTTCTAGCCAGGCTGCATGATCAAAGGTTCAGTCTGAATGTTTTATGGAAAAGTCAAGAGGAAAAGTCAAGCATTTTCCAAGAAGTTTTTAACAGCAAAATATACTAAAATTGCAATTTATATTCCATTTCAAATTGCAAAGGTTTTCTGTAGACTGCGCTTAAGTGATTTTTTTTTACTTTATTTTCTTAGAGAGGTATGAAAATAATTTCAACTAACTTTATTTATATATAACCAATTTTATAGATATAGTCTCTTCAAACAATCAGCTTAGCCACACATACCACATGTACATACTTTATGGAACATACTGCTTGTTTAATAAATTTCATAAAGGGAAGGTGAAAGGGCAGAAGATATTTAGCAGTATTTCAGTAATAAGGAAAGCAGAGTGCATCTGAAATGACTGTTTAACATTCTGGGGGGAATAAAAAGGAAGTCTTTTTACTGAACAATAATAAACACAGCCAGATTGCTTGCCTAATGGCATCTGATAATGACTCAAACAGGAGAGGAAGTAAAAGCAGCAATTCTGGCTCAAGCACTGATCTTTTTTGATGTTAAAAGAGTAATGCCTGTCTTTTCATGGCCCCTGTCTTATTTCATTCCTTCCCTGGATTACAAAAGGCAAAAAGATACCACACTGATAACTATCCACTAGATAACAGACACAAAAATCAAACTCATTTGACAACTGGGTATAGCTGTATGTGTGCCACTGTCTATCTATCTACAGCACAAACCTTTGCCATTTTATTAGCACAATAGTTATGCTAATCAGATTTAGTTCATTAGAAAGTTTGGAAACTTTCTAAT